AAGGGAAGGGAAGGGAAGGGAAGGGAAGGGAAGGGAAGGGGAGGGAAGGGAAGGGAAGGAAAGGGAAGGAAAGGGGAAACCTGAAGCCACTGATGAGGCTCCCTTCCGCAGTTACCTGAAGACTTTGATAGAAATCCTGTCCATCTCAGCATGAGAACTCAGTACAGGTCCATGGCTGCCATCCTGCTGAGGTCAGATTGTGCTGAGAACTACCTAATGTACTGGCATCCAACCACCATCCCTCCTGCTTAACAGCACAGAACAATCTCCCCAACACACAGTTCATATCTTCTTGCCCTTCAGCTAAAAAAATCCACCATCCAAGTCTCACTTCCTTCCTCAGTAGGTAGGTGTGAAAGAGCCTCTTCCCTCAGGACACATTCCCACTGCCTAGGCATGGAGAATACCTCGCATTTCTATGGCAGTTGCACCTGCTCCAGGCTGCGACAGTGAGAGGCTCCCTGTGCAGGGGTAGAATGGAGGAAATCTGGGTTTGTGTTGGGCACAGCCACTTCTGGTGTGAGCAACTGTAGATGATTTAACTTCTAAGCTCATCTCCTCACAGAGCTACTGTGGGACTCAGGAGATAGTAAATCAGGTTCTAAGTAGCTTGGGTTCTTATCACCCCTGTGCACTGAAAAGCACACACATAGGCCTCTCTGTGTTCTACACAAAAATGAGAAACTATATAAGCTGTTCCACAACTTTTTTCACTAATACATCTTAGAGCTTGGACATCTTTCCCATGTTTACACATACAACTATTTTTACAAATTAACTACCCTATGCATCAGTTACCTTAGAAGTCAAAATAACATTACCAGTGTCTAGCTTAGCAGGCAGAACCATACACTGTAATCCTAATTATACTGCCAACAAGAAAAAAAGTACCAATACTGGAAAATGGGCTTGTGAAATAATACCAAGGGCCAGAGATGTGGCTCAATCAGTGAATAAAAACAATTGTTATATAAACCTGCTGACCTAAGTTCAATCCCCAGAACAGATAATGGAAAGAGAACTCCCAAAAGTTGTCTTCTGCCAGGCATGGTGGCATTTAATCCCAGCACTCGGGAGGCAGAGGCAGGTGGATCTCTGTGAGTTCAAGGCCAGCCTGGTCTACATAGCAAGTTCCAGGACAGCTGGGGCTACAGGGAGACCCTGTCTCAAAAAGACCAAAAAAAAAAAAAAAAGGTGTCTTCTGATCTCCACACACACGCCAATGGCATGCTAGTGCCCCCCCCCACATGCTCACACAGACAGAAATAAATTTTTAAAGACTTGCTTTAATGTGTCTGTGTTGCTGTGAGTGAATGCCGTGTGTGTGTGTGTGTGTGTGTGTGTGTGTGTGTGTGTGTTGGGGAAGTACCTGCAGATGCCAGAAGAGGGTACTGGATCTCCTGGAGTTGGAGTTACAGACAGTTGAGAGCCACCTGAAGTGGATGCTGGGTCCTGAACTCAAGTCTTCGGAAGAACAGTAAGTGCTCTTAACTGCTGAGCCATCTCTCCTACCCTTAAATTTTTTAAAATTGAGCTGGGTGTGGGAGCACATGCCTTTGATCCCAGGACTCTGCAGACGGATCTCTGTGAGTACAAAGCCAGCCTGGTCTACATAGTGAGTTCCAGGCCAGCTGGGGCTACAAGGAGACCCTGTCTCAAAAAGACAAAAAAAAAAAGTGGGGGGGGGACTGGAGAGATGGCTCAGTGGTTAAGAACACTGACTGTTCTTGCAGAAGACCCGGGCTCAAATCCCAGCACCCACATGGCAGCTAACAACTGTCTGTAACTCCAGTTCCAGGGGATCCAGCAGCCTCTTCTGTCTTCCGTGGGCACTGCATGACATGGGTACACTTACCTACATGTAGGCAATACACACATACACATAAAATAAAAATAATACCAGGACAGCTGGGGCTACAGGGAGACCCTGTCTCAAAAAGACCAAAAAATAAATAAATAAAAATAATAAAAAATTTTTTAAAAAACTGCTTACTAAAAAGGAAAAATCCTTACTGTAGACCTGGCCAACCCTCTGTGGCAGGGGAGAATACAGGCTCCAGTGGGAAGTTACTGCAATTGCTTTGTTAGATAGAAATGATGCACCTGCTAAAGTAGTGACCAAGCATTTGTGTTACACCCATAGGCTATTATAGCAGTCACTGTTTAGATATTCTTGCTTCTTGCTAGGTGGGTTTTTTTGTTTGTTTGGTTTGGTTTTTTTTGGTCTTTTTTTGCGACAGGGTCTCCTTGTAGCCCCAGTTGTCCTGGAACTATGTAGACCAGGATGGCCTCGAACTCACAAAGATCCTCCTGCCTCTGCCTCCCAAGTGCAGGGATTAAAGGCGTGCGCCACCACGCCCGGCCCCTGCTGTGTGTTTTCATAGTAGATGGAATCCACTGAAACTGGCCAACAGCCAACGGAAAACAGGTGATGCAGAGACCCAAAAGGTCAGTGCTTTGTCACAACGGGAGGAAGATCACCCACACCTACCACCCCCTCCAAGGCCCAGGGACTTTTGGGGAAGAGGTAGGAGGAAGAATGTAAGAGCCAGAGAAAGAGGTGGAGTGTTAACTAGAAATGTCCTCTGACCACTATGCCAGCAAGCTATAGTAACACCTCCTTCCCACACTCATCAAGGAGTAGAGGGAGGAGTCAGTTAGCCCACCTACCCAATCAGTTGACCTTAGCTGCATGTGGGGTGAGGGGCAAAGGATGTAAGATGAGAATGTCATGAGGCACCCCCTCACCATTTTGTGGGGGTGTCAGGAGATCACAGGATTTGTATTTGCATGTAGACTTTACAGTGCTGTAAATGTGGGGCACCCTCTCTTCAGTAAATAAACCCTTACCCTATGCTCTGTTAAAAAAATAATATGCTGGGCATGGTGGCACATGCCTGTAGTCCCAGCACTTGGAAGGCAGAGGCAGGCGAATCGCTTCTGAGTTCAGGCCAGCCTGGTCTCCACAGCAAATCCAGGCCAGCTGGGACTACAGGGATACTCTGTCTCAAAAAAAATCCATCCCCCTGACCTA